AGGGAGCCCTGCTAACACAGGGAGAGAACCTCAAACTGTTACAGGAGACGGAGCCCTGCTAACACAGGGAGAGAACCTCAAACTGTTACAGGAGATGGAGCCCTGCTAACACAGGGAGAGAACCTCAAATTGTTACAGGAGACGGAGCCTCACTAACACAGGGAGAGAACCTCAAATTGTTACAGGAGATGGAGCCCTGCTAACACAGGGAGAGAACCTCAAATTGTTACAGGAGACAGAGCCTCACTAACAGAGGGACAACCTCAAAGCGGGAAAGAGGGAGAGGCGATTACAGGTGAGTGTTAGTGAGGTACTATCTCTGGAAATTAACATCAGAGCCTGAAAGCATAGCTGCAGAAAGCTGAGAGCTCCGGCACTGAACAGCAAACCGCCTCTAATTGTTATACTGACAACAAGCTGCTACACGCCTTTGGCTGAAATGAGAACATTATGTGGATGGAACAAAAAGGTTGACAAATGCGAATTCAAACAATCGTAACTGGCACCATAACTGCAGGCATGCCTTTCAGGTGTTCTGTGAAGGGGTGTCTCTGGATTTGATGCAGGTCTTGTATGATAAAAAAAGGTCTCATTTAGTCAGTAAGTGTTGGATAAAAGAGCTAAGAAAGGCATTAATTGCAGCACAACGTGGTGCCACGAGATGCGCACATGCTGTGGGACATGCAGGCCACCCGGCTGGGCACACAGGCCACCGCTGCGCACACACACACACACATACTGCCAACTTCAGCTCCCCGCTGCCCCCTAGAGGCTATCAGGCAGGCTTACCGGCTTCTCCTTGAAGACCATCTGCAGAAGCCACTTGAAGTCGTGGGGCTTGAAAGCAGATAAAACAAAGAGAGAGTCCTTCTCGTAGAGCTGCAGTTTCTGGAAGGCCCCCTCGGGATAGGTGATGCGCATGGTGGTCTTGGAGCCCACGTCCTTCTCGAAGCCGCTCACTGGGGCCCCGTTTAGCCTGCCATCAAAATAAGCCCTCAATCGCTACATAATAATAACAACCATTTTAAAACGGCCAAAGAACGCTTATAGTCACTGCAAAACTCCCCCAGGACATGGTCAGCCAGAACCCGGCCATCAGTAACGGCACCAGAGACTCAGGCCCGAAGGTGACGGCTCCAAGTCTGCTCACACACCTGGGGGGGGGGGGGGGGGTTCTGTTGAACAGGCCCACCAAAACACTGTAAATCTGCCCAATTTTGGAGAGCCAACCGTAACTCGAGGGCACCAGCTGCT